TCTCCGGTCCGCGCAGACCTTTGAAAATGTTTGGAAAGGGTCGGCGGCGGGGTCCTTCCGGCCGGTGGACAAGATGACAGAAACTTGTCGCGCCTCGCGCCGCCCAAAACACGGACAAGGTTTGCGGTGGCGGCCGTGTTGTTTTCTTTCCTCTGGCGTCTCCGTCGGTTCCTCGGGGCCGACCCGGCGGCGACGAGGCGGCTTTCTGGCCCGCTCGCTTCCTCGGCGCCGCGGTCCGGGTCATTCCCCGCCGTCGGTCTCCGGGGCGGGTCCCGTCTCGCCATCGGTACCGACGGCCGCTCGCCCGTCGCTATAGCCTCCTTGTTGGGGGTGAACCTGAAGGCAATATCTCTCACACCTACCCCCCCCCCCCCTCCCCCAACACACACACATATTCATCAAACTCACACCCGGATCCTCTTTCTCGGCCGGGTAGTTGAACGCTCACCAAAAGGGCATTTAAGGGGCTCTCTCGGCGAGGGGCCGGCCGAGCCTCGCGACGGTTTCCCAACGTCGCGGGTGTTGGACTTTTTTTTTCTTTCTCCGCTTTCTTTAACGGTTGCAAAAGGTTGCAAAGACGTCGAGCGGACGCTTTTGACGATCGCAGAGTGTCGTTCTTGTCCGCAAGAAATTCGGAAGCCGTTCCAAAGGTTGCGGCAGCGGGTCAAGGGCTTCGCAACCTTTGGCGAGCTTGAAGGTACTCGGCCGGAGGGGTCTTTGCCGAGTGTGCCGTGTGGCTTCTCAGGCGATGAGGAAGCTCTACAAGGCCTCCCTGAAGTATCCCGAGTGGAAGCGCAGACACGAGCCCCACCTGAAGCCGTGGATGTTTCCGGAGCAGAACGCCTCGCCGCGCATCAGCGTGTCCGAGTTGACGCCGCAACGCGCCGATTCCTTGGAGAACATCGACGAGAGCGGCCTGAGCGAGGACAAGACCAAGCGCGGCGGCGGCGACGACGACGACGAGACTTGAGCGTCTCCGGGCTGGCCGTTTTGGCGGCGGGGGGGCTCTTTGCTTTGCCGTGTTTTCATCGTGCAAATAAATCTGGTCATTTTCGACGCGGAGGCATCGTTTTTGTCTCGTCGAGTCCCAAAGCGATCCTGGATGGATGCACATCGCAGCAGGTGAAACCAGAACTGCAATCCCAAAATGTGTCACAGTTGCTCGGCGCGTTCGCGGCAGGTTTCCAAAGTGCAACAGTGAAACCGCATCCGAAACGTGGAATTGGAATTTGAAACGATAGGCCGGCCCATGCAGCCGCCTACGGCCTCGACCGCTCGCCAGGAAAATGACGGCCACACCCACACACACACACACACGATTTATTGATGTATTTATTTCACTGGGACAGCGGCCATTGATCAGCACAAGAATAAACAGCGCCACTGCGCCGGACTTCGCATACGTGCTCGTTTTCAGCCGTAGTCCCAAGGCCGGTTTGTAAAGTGGCACAGTGAGACACATCCAACTTGAAAGCCCAAATGACCGAAATAAGAACCAAATAGGTCAGAGCTCATCTAAGTGACGATTCAAACACTTGCAGTACTCGACGACAAGACAAAAGGCCGGGACAGGCAAATCACTTGCAGCTACAAAGTTGCTGGTCAGGAGCCCACTGCAACGGGCTGCAATCTGGGAAGTGTGGGGGGGGGGCACGTCTGATGTATTTCAGCCAATGTTTAAGGTTTTTTTTTTTTTTTTTTTTTTTTTTGAAGTGTAAAGTGACCACAGACTCTGACGCAGGGGTGTCAAACTCAGGTCCCGGAGGGCCGCCGCCGTCCTGCAAGGAAAGCGAGAGGATCGACTTTTTGCGTCTGAGCCACATCGACTCGTCGCGATCGACTGTTGATGCCTGTCCCCGCAGACATGGCGGCGTCCGCGGATTCGCGCGAGCTTTTCGCCGACGCGGTGAGGGCGACCCTGAGCGCGTGGCCGGCCCTGCAGGTGAGCCCAAAGTCTCGTCCGGACGCGTCGACGTTTCGCGCACGCAAACGATCGGAGACGGGCGCGCGCTAAGCCGCCGAGGACCTCGTGACGCGCGCGGAGTTCGACGAGTCTCCGCCGCGCGGCTCGCGAACGGCTTCGGTTGACGTCGACGCGTCGCTTTGACGCAGCTTTTGGAGCCTTCACCTCAATTATTGTGGACCGTCGTCGAAGGCGGCTGCGGGCGAACGCGAGAAAAGAGCGTGAATCGCCCAACTTCCGCGCTCGACAGGAAACCCCCTCGTACGGGGAGAGAGGCCCTCAACACGGTTTCCACACGGGCGCGTCGTGCCCAACGCGCAGCTCGAGGCCGGGAAGTCGACGAAGAAGCCGCAGCGGGATTCGCGGAGCCGTCGGCTTGCTTTTTTTTTTCGGCTACAAATTTAGCTTGGAGCAGACGCGCGCACATCTCGAGCGTGACGACTCTGAGCCACTTGGATTCTCGCTCCTCTTTGGCGAGGACAGACAATCCACTTTTGACTCGAAGAATAAGAAACAGGCCATCGTAGGAGGTGGCCGCATTCCAACCATTCCGTGTGCGCGAGCCATGTTTGCCGGCTTCACTCGTGGCACTTGATGGAGCTTTGTGGTGTGGTTCTTGCTGTCTTTTTAGAAATCCCGTCGTCCCTGTTGGTCTTTGATGCAGCGGCGCCACTGACCGACAATCTCTGCTTTCAGATTGCGGTGGACAACGGCTTTGGGGGCGCGTACGGGCAACAGAAAGCCGACTGGCTGGCGGATGTCGTCCAGCAGTACTTCCACGACAACCGTAAGTCCGTCGGCCGTCGACAACGAGCGCCTTTCGACATGACCGTGTGGGGGCGACGGAGAGGCGGCGACCCGGGCCCCGCGTCGCGCTCTCGAGGCCCGGGTCCTCGGGCGCGGCCGCTCTCCTCATTCCCAAAAGGCGCACGGTCGCGCGGATCCTTCCGACGTCTTCAAAGCGGCACCTTTGCGGGATGTGCCGTGCCCGCTGTGGCCCGGGCGATCCTAACGGAGGGCCTTCCCCGTCACCGCGCGTCACGTGCGCGTTCTCAAAATGGCAGGCGGCCGGCCCTCGTGCGCTCACCGATCACCCGCGGGCCTCGATACGTCCCACGGTCCAACGTCAACTCGTCGTCAGGCGAAGTGGCAAAAAGGGATCGTGGCGGCGTGCCGCATTTGCGGCATCGTGGTGGCTCGCCGATGTCGGCGCGTGGCGCCCATCCGGCCGTCCCCGGCGCGGTCTGGTCCGAGTCTCTTTGGACTCGCCGCGTGTCAGGAAAAGGCCACGTTCCACCAACGAAGCCCACCCGTCCACGAGTCGGGACTCGCCTTTGGCTGCGCCCAAATTTGGAGAGTTCGGGACATCAACGTCTTGCGGGAGACCATCGGTGAGCAAAGGAACGGGGCAAATATTTTGGACTCGCGCCTTTTCCTTGAACGAAGCCCGACTCGAACGAGCCGGGCCGATCCCTC